TAAAAATTCAAACACTAATTCAGCGATTACCGGAATCGACAACTTAACACATCATTCAAATTATGAAATTTCTCGTCCGAGGTCTTCTCATAAGGCCAAGGACTCGACATTGTTCCATTATCCACCGACTTACACGAGTTTCGAGGTCTCATTCAATTTCTCATAATTGAAGAGATCCCCGAACACTTAAACGACACATAAAATTTTAATTTCACATAATCTCATATCGAATACATTATAACACAAAGAAACACATCTCGTGAATCAACATAATACGAAAACAACGTATATACGAGTTAAACGAGACGGGATCGACTAAGTACCGTTCTCGGGAAAACTCAGAAAACGGAACGAAAGAGAATGGCGAGCTCGAGGGCTAAAGCTCGGCGGCTTCGCTCGACTCGCGGAGGAGGTCAGCGGCTCGAGGGCGTGGACAGAGGTGCTGCTCGGACGTCCACGGTTGCCGCTGAGATGCTCCGACATGAAGGGCCGCTCAACGAGGTGCTGCTCGAATGGAGGGACGCCGGAAAAATCTCGAACAGCGCTTAGGAGGTTGCTGGTCGTCGAAAGGATCACGGCCAGAGGTGGTCTCGTCGTCGGGGCTCGCGGACTGTGAAGGTTCGACGTCGGATGTTCGTGGACCTGCTCGCGGGAGAATCAGATTCGCCGGAAAAACGCGAAACAGGGGTCGCCGGAGTTCGCTGCGCGTGGATGCGCAGGACCTTCGCGACGGCGGTGCTGGGCGGTGATGCACGGCGAGGAGCAGAGAGGTTGCGCCGAAAAATGAGCAGGTGTCTTCCCTTCTCCTTGTGCGACGGGATGCTGCTCCTTAGCGAGGATGGTGATGGCAGCGGCGAGTTTAAGAGAGAGAGATGAAGGTGTCCGGATTTTGAGCGACAGGGAAGAGAATACAAACGTGGGCGACAGATTTGTGAGGGAGACGACGTGAGGGAGAGGAGATTTATGGTTGCGGTGTGTATCTGTTGCGAGAGAGAAGCAAGCGAGACGCTAGGTCAAAAATTTTTATCTGGCTTCCCAAGATTTTTAACGCGTGAAACAAATGGGAGAAAAGATCTGTCCGACTGGGCCTGGTTTGGCGGGTTTCGGGTCATGGGTTTGGGCCAGATAAGTTCGGTTCAAAGCATACGTTTCTCTCGGGCTCGATTATTCTCGATTTTCGATCGACTTAGCCAAAATAAAAATTGGCTCGTTTCGCACAATAATTTAAAATAAGATAAAACTCGGCTATTATAATAAAATATATTTCACACATTATTAATTAAATAATAATACACATTTTAGCATTTAATAGGCAATTAGGCATTTAAATAAAATATTAATAACAATAATAAAAATAATAATAATAATGACAAAAATATTAAATAAAAAAAATTCTAAATATTCCATAAACGAACGGGCTTCATGGATGATGTAGATATCCCACATCGGTTGTGAAGGAGAACGAAGCATGCCATATAAGTGGCTGTGGATACCTTCACTAGTGTGACGCGTTTTGGTGAGCTTGCTCCCAAAGGCAAAACCGTGCGGGGAAGGATGAAAGTACCCAGAGCGGACAATATCGCACTACGGGTCAACCTTACTGGGCTGTTACAGTGGTATCAGAGCCAGTACCCGAGCCATGTGCCATCGAGGACGCTGGGCCCCTGTGAGGGGGGTGGATGTAGATATCCCACATCGGTTGTGAAGGAGAACGAAGCATGCCATATAAGTGGCTGTGGATACCTTCACTAGTGTGACGCGTTTTGGTGAGCTTGCTCCCAAAGGCAAAACCGTGCGGGGAAGGATGAAAGTACCCAGAGCGGACAATATCGCACTACGGGTCAACCTTACTGGGCTGTTACAGAGCTGCACATGGGTAATGGTACTGGTGAAATTATCCCTCACATTGGTAAGACACAACTGAAATCCCTAAATTCTAGTAGAGTCTTTGTTCTTCAAGATCTTTTACATGTTCCTAGTGTCACTAAAAATCTTCTAAGTGTTATCCAGATTTGCCCAAGATGACAATGTGTTTTTTGAGTTTCATCCTTCTCATTGTTTTGTGAAGGACCGAGCAACTCAGGAGGTGCTACTCCAAGGGGAGCATAAACAAGGACTCTACCAGTTTCAACTAGCAAATTCATCTTCTACCAGCCTTTCTCAACACTTCAACCTTCAACACCAGCCTCAGTTATCCTTTTCAGTTAATTTAGTTCAGTCTTTTAATTCTAAGAAAGATGCTTGTTTAGAGTTGTGGCACAAGACTTGGTCACTGTAGTTACGACATTGTCAAGAGAGTTGTAAAGTCCTGTAACGAGTCTTTTGATTTGAATAAAAATGTCACTTTATGTTCTACTTGTGTTGTTTCAAAAATTCACAGGTTATCTTTTTGTGATTCTGAAACCAAATATACCTTGCCACTTGAACTAATTCACTCAGACCTTTGGGGGCCTTCTCCAATCAAATCTAAAACAGGCCATCTATATTGTCTCAACTTTGTTGACCAATTCACCAAATTCACTTGGGTTTACTTTCTTAAACAAAAATCTGAGGTCTTTGATATTTTCATCCATTTTAAAAACATGGTTGAAATACAGTTTGGTTTCAGAATTAAAAATCTTCAAACTGATTGAGGGGGGAGAATACATATCACTCAGATCATTTCTTCAGTCTAATGGTATCACACATAGAGTTGTCCTTGTACACCTCAACAAAATGGAACTGCTGAAAGAAAGCATAGACACATCACTGAGATGGGGTTGTCCTTGTTGAACCAATCATTTCTACCCTAAAACCACTGGGATGATGCCTTTGCTGCCTCTTGCTATCTAATAAACAGACTTCCCACCAAGTCCTTGGCATTCAAGACCCCCTTGGAGATGTTGCACCATCATCCTCCTAACTACAACAGGTTAAAAACTTTTGGTTGTCTTGCTTTTCCTTTGTTGAAGCCCTATAAGAAACATAAACTCCAACCAAGGTCAGTAGGTGGAACATTCATTGGTTTCAGTAGCTTTCAAAAAGGGTACAAAATTCTGTTACCTTCTGGAAAAGTTGTAGTATCAGGACATGTTCTTTTCAATGAAGAAGTGTTTCCTTTTAGTGATGCTGCTAAACAACACTGTCATTATCCTCATAATTCTTTTGACTCACAAAATGTTCACTCACCAACAGAACCTCATATAACCACACAACAGTTCATTCAACAAGTTCATCCCACTACACAACCTCATGATCACCTATCAGCACCTTCTCCTCAGAAGTTAAAGAACACACCTCTTTCATCCTGCAGCCCAAACATTCAGTCTCCTAGAAGTATAGGAAGTCACTTCAATCACTCCACCATTCCATTAGTTGTTGACTTACCATTTGTGAGAAGTAATTCACCAGAATCCACTCATCACAGCTTAAGAGATTCAGAAAATCAAAACAAACATCATATGGTTACTAGAGGAAAGGCAGGAATATATAAACCTAGAGTCTTGATGGCTAGTATTGAACAAAGAGAACCAACTAGCCTGGATGAAGCTTTAAACTCAACTCAGTGGTTTGGGGGAATGGTGAATGAACTAAAGCCTTGAGAGACAACAAACCCTGGAGTTTAGTCAATCCACCAGCTGGAAGAAACATTGTTGGTTGTAAGTGGGTGTTTAAACTCAAGAGAAATTCAGATGGGACCACATCTAGATATAAAGCTAGATTAGTGGCTCAAGGATTTTCTCAGGCAGCAGGATTTGATTTTAAAGAAACTTTCAACCTTGTAATGAAGCATTCAACCATAAGAATCATTCTCACAGTTGCAGTTCATTATTCTTGGAAGATAAGGCAATTGGACATAAACAATGCATTCCTTAGCGGTGAGCTTTCAGAGGAAATATTCATGATACAACCACCAGGCTTTGAAGAATCTCAACAAAGAAAAGTTTGAAGATTGAATAAGGCCATCTATGGCCTTAAACAAGCCTCAAGAGCTTGGTTCCTTAAAGTCAAAGAGACTTTGAACTGCATGGATTTTATTTGTTCAAAATCTGACAATTCATTGTTCTATAAGAGAACTCAGAATTCCATTATTGTTGTGCTAATATTTGTGGATGATATCCTAGTTACAGGGGATAATAACACTGAGATAGAAAAGGTAATCTCACAACTTGCACAAAGCTTTTCTCTCAAAGATCTTGGCGAGCTGCATCAGTTTCTAGGAATGGAGATCCACAGAACCAAAGATGGTCTTTTTCTCTCACAGGAAAGGTAAAGATCTCCTTTCAAAGATTTCAATGTACAATGCAAAAGGATGCAGAAGTCCAATGTCCACAAGCTGCATTTTATCCAAGAACAAGTCAGATACAAGCATTGATGGTACATTGTTTAGGAGAATAGTTGGAAGCCTTCAGTACCTAACTATTTCTAGACCTGAAATAGCTTATGCTGTTAACAAAACTAGTCAATACATGTCAAATCCTCATGTGGAGCATTGGAAGGCCATCAAAAGGATCTTGAAATACATTTCAGGCAGCATTCATCTTGGTTTAGAAATCACCAAATCAGACAATTTAAATGATGTTGGTTTTTGTGATTCAGACTGGGCAGCTGATTTGGATGAGAGGAGATCCACAAGTGGCTTTTGTGTTTATATAGAAGGCAGTTTGGTGTCTTAGAATTCAAGAAAACAAGCTTCAGTTTTCAGATCAAGTGCAGAGGCAGAATATAAAAGTTTGGCACATGTGACTTCTGAAATTCTTTGGGTTCTTAGCCTGCTTGGAGAATTGAATCTAACCCGGTTATGCATGGAAGGACCAAACACATAGAACTTGATTATCATTTTGTAAGAGAGAAGGTAGCAGCTCAAGTGCTTGAAGTCAGACATGTACCAAGCTGTGATCAGATTGCAGACATTCTCACCAAGCCATTGAATGAACAATCTTTCACCAGGTTAAGGGAGTTGTTGCAGGCGAGAAGCTTACCTGGTTCAGATTGCGAGGGAGTGTTAGAATTATTTAAAGACAAGTCATCACCTCAGCCTGATGACATCATGAGCTCAGCAGCTCTTGTCTCGTTGCATGGTAACAAAAGCAACGACTCTCTCACTCCTATGCACAGTTGGACTAATCACGAGCAGAATGGAGAATATTGGTTGACAGCTTTCTCCAACCGTAGTGATAGCATAGATGATGGACAAGTGTCATTGATCTAGGCTCCATCTAGATAATTCTGTAGTAGATTATAAATATCCTAACATAGGGTTTTGTATTGGTTGATCTCCTTCTTCAGGCTTCGCAATATACAGCCGCCATGGCATTTATGGAGAACATTTTGCTTTCTGCGTTTTTCTTGCAATTTGATTACTTGATTATTATCAATTAAGAAAATGTTTTAGTATCATTTATATAACCCCTCATTTAGCAAGAGAAATCGTAAGTTCTCATTCGGGTTTATGGTGAGAAAATTAAAAATTTAAGACTTAGAAAAATTTCCATAGTCGTGAGCATGCAAGTCATTTGCCGAGAATTTATCGACAACCAAAGCCAAGTTAGCATCCGAGGTCATAAGACCGAAACATCTTCCTTCATATTAGTAGAATTCCTTGAAGGAGGTAATATTTCTATACTCTTTTAGTTACTAAGATTTATTTTGAAATATATAAATGTGTTTATGGTTCATTGATTTGATAATTAATTAAATTCATACGAATTTAATTATTAGTAATGATGTTGAACACTTGTATAATATTGATTCATTTTTGAAAATTTTATATTTTTAGAATATATGATAGCCGGGATAATTTTATTAAATTATTTGAGGAATCGGGTCAAAATAGACTATGTTGAGTATTTGTAAATTTTGAAAAAAAAAAAATCTATTTGTTCTCTTGTCTTTTTCCATCTCCCATTTATCGGTTAAAGTAGGTATTTTAACCTTTAATATGAAGTTTTATAAAAATGGAAAATTTGGTGATTTATATGAGCATCATAAACTGTGTCGAGTCTAGTCACTCGCTAGTGAGTTGAGAATGTGTCAGCATGCACCTTGGGAATTCGCATCAGACCCAGTGCGAGGGCGAGGCCAACGCAGCACCAAGACATTACAATAGGGTCTGGTATCATCTGTGTATGAATCAAACCATCGGTTAGGGATGGGACCTCACCCGGACGAGCTCGAGTTGTGACGATTATATTTTAAAAGCTTAGAAAATTATTTTAAAAAAAAAATATCCCGAGCTATTATTAAAGTTTTTAGAAATTAGTTATAGATTTTAAATGAATTCAGAGAAAATCTAAGTTTTGAGTTCAAAGAGATAATAAATTAAGAGATTTTTATAAAGTAAGAGTCGAGAGTTCAAACACCTAAGAAAGACAAACAGTTAAATCGTGAACCTTAAGCTAAAGAGAAAATTTTTCAAATTTGTAAGTTAGCTTACCAAGTCAAGAGATAGAAATTTTATCTAGTATGTTTCATTAATTAATGTAGATAACGAGAAGTGGAGTCTCGAGCATTCTACCAAAGTATTATTCTATCAATAGGCAAAAGAAGAACAGGTGGAGACCAAGCCTGGGTATTACATTGCTTATAATCTTGTACCATGTATGAGGTATGTATGAGTCTATTTACCCGAACGATTGAGTTATCCCATTTGTGGTCCAATTATGATGAGTTTATTTACCCGAACGGTTGAGTTATCCCGTTTGTGGTCCAGTTATGATGAGTTTATTTACCCGAACGATAAAGTTATTCCGTTCGTGGTCCAGTTTAAGAGGACTCAGTTGTATGGAAGTTTTTCCATCCTGAGTCACTCGCCTTATCAAGAATGGTTTCTGTGGGAGGCGAACCCTAGAATGTGATCACATGAGAACCGGCCAGTTACCGGTAGTTGCATCAGTACAGTTCAGATTAGTTTTATTTATGTATATGCTGAGTTCATGATATTTGATTATATGTGATGTATATTTAGTATGGGTTTTTGCGGAGTACAGTGGATTAGTACTCACGCCCCACTATTATCATTTTCAGGTAACAGGGTCGGTGCGGAGGTGTGAAATGAGCAGTGGTGGTGGGGTGGTGGATTCACACTATTATTATTTACGAGGACATTTATTTATATAGTCTGTATAATAAGAGATGCTTTTAAAAAAAATTCCGCTATGCATTTAAGTTCGAACTTGCATGTTAAGTATTTTCAGATTTTGAAATTTGAAAGGAATTTTAACATCAGAAAGAGTAATAGCCATTCTAGGAATCAACACCTTCTCGCCTTCGTGATCCCCAGTGAGTATCTTACACTCAAGAACGTGAGCGGATAGTTTTGTCACAACCAACCGTGTCACATTACATAAACCCATAGAATGATCCATATTTCGCAGCAACATGACGGGAGTTCCAATCTTCAAATGCATTTGATGATTTGGAATTCCAGAACATTTGATACTATTCATGAACTCAGACGTATGGAGATCAGAAAGAAAATCATTATTATCATCCGACTTGCAAGTACTGTCGGAACTTAAGTACGTATTACCTTCTGATAAATTCAACAGCGTCATGTATTCATTAACGGACTCAACAACATCCAACGTCGGTGCTAATATTGCCCTGTCCTTCAAATAACTGGGATCATCGGTCGTCTGCTTAAACATTGGATATGTGCTCTCTACAATTTGAGCAATCGGATCATCAGATGGTTTAAGCAATATATCCTCAGGTACATCAATCATTGCACAACCATCGTTTAACCCTCCTATAGTTCCATCCTCAGCGCTCGCAATCCATTCAGCAAACCAAGCAACCTCTTCACATTCCTCAGAATCTTTAAGGCTCTGAAGACGCATGTTTTCTGTAAGCCTGAGCAGAGTGCAACTTGTTGTAGTTATTTTTACCGGAGTTAGATCAAAAGATTCGAACACCGGGTCGTGTCTCAAGGAAGGTTAGCCGGATTATTTTGTACGATTATTCAAGCACAAAAAATGGAAAATGAAAGAAGTGAAAATCCTAAACATTCTAAATCAAGTTTGGAGATTTGATTATCGTCTACTAATTTGAAAAGCAAGTGACTGAACAGGGCAAGCAAACTAGGAATCACAAATTTAATGTATAATGAAGGAGCTAGGGTATCGGGGTCGATCAATTCCAGTTCTCAATACACTTAACGAGCAATCAAGAGCTCGGTTGAATGCTTCGCTAAACTACTCATCTAGAGGTCTACCCTCAATAACTCTTCATAACAAGAGGATAGACATTAATAAGCAATTCTTGAAGCAATCAACACATAAGCAATACTATTACGAACGAGCTTATTCCTAACGAGCCTAGATCGAACGATTTCTCCCTTTTCAGTTTTAAAATCGATTAGATAGATTAAGATGGTGATCAATCATCAAAACCCTAAGTTAAGCACAACTCGAGAGGATGGAGCAATTATCATGCACATAAATAAAATCAAACCGGAACGATCTTCCCTTAACCCTAGCTAAAGGATTTAGCTACTCATAATGCATTCAACTCCAACACATATAATAACCAAAGCCATTCAATCAATAAGAAAACGAAACGAAAGCTTACGATTGAAAAATCCAATGTTGAATACACGAATAACCGAATCCACAAGCTTAATCTTGGTGTTTTCACAATCCAAGATCAAATCCTATGAAGAACTAAGAGAAAAAACTGTTTTGGAGTGAATAAAAACGAGAGAGAGTCTAAACCTAGGTGAAAAGTGAATGAAAAACTGAACAAAAAACGCAGCTTAAAAATTCTGCTGCCGCGACCTCCGCGGCCGCGGCGAAGAACCTCTCGCGGCCGCGACTTTCTCCGCGGCCGCGACCTCCCCGAGCCAGAAATTGGGACTTCCGTGTATCTCGCGGCCGCGACTTTCTCTTCTCCGCGGCCGCGGCGAACAATTTCTGAATGTTGGTTTTTGGGTTCGTTTTCTCTCATCCGGACTCGGAATTTGACCCCGTCTTCTCCAACACGACCCCAACTCATCCATCTAGACAGTAGACCTCGCATATCCATGCACCGAGCCACCAAACCTGCACATGACCACCGACAAGAAATACGGAAAACGGGAAAAACGAACAAAAAGACCAAAAACGACTAAAACAAAGGATATGCGCGAGACGACTCGAAACGGACCAAAAACCAAAGAAAAATACCTAAGTAGGGGAAAAACAAGCATGAAATAAACAAAGAAAACGTGACAAAAGTGGAACGAACACAACTCCTCCAAATGTCAGAAGCATTAATCGCAGCATTCACTATGTCCTGACGGCTACCTTTGGGAATTACAGGAAGAATTTGTCGGAAAACTCCACCAAAACAATTGATTTGCCTCTAAATGGTTTGTCCTTGTTAGAAGGATCAATTTCTCCCATAATATCTTGCAACGATGTCTGAACAGCTTCGAAGCAATGCTTGTGCATCATTGGAGCCTCATCCCAGATTATCAAATAAGAACGTATTATCAATTCCACGAGAGGGCTTCCCTGATTGATATTGCAAGAAGAGTCCTGGTGAGGATTCAACGGTATGCCAAATCGAGAATGAGCAGTTCGTCCACTAGGCAACAAAAGTGATGCTATTCTTCTCGATGCGACACACAACACTATACGACCTTTGGATATCAGCCCAGCAGATAACGTTCTCCACAAATATGTTTTTCCCGTTCCACCATAGCCATATACCAAAAAAACACCACCTTGACCAGAATCCACGGACAACATAATTGTTGAGTAGACTCCTTTCTGTTCGTCAGTCATTTTTTCAAGAAGCATAGCATGTTCAACTGCAAGAGCCTTTCGATCGTAGCTCAACTCATCCAAAAGAAGACGATTTGAATTTGATTGCATACTATCGCTATCAGAAAAGGGCATAGTAGAATAATCACTAAGACTTGCTCCACGCCATCGCAATAAATACTCAATCTCGGCAAGGGCTAGATTCTGGATTTGCTCTTCTGTAAGCAACAAACCTAAATATTCAAAAAAGATAATTTTGCATCACAACAATTGAAAACAATATAAATTTGTATATCAAAATCCAAGGCACATCATATTTAGAATATAATATCACTAATATAATAAAATACCATCATTGTTGAATAGTCGTCGTTGTCTGTAAAGAATGTCATCCGACAAAGATTGCCAACATCTTGTCCATACCTCCTCAGGTCTACCAAACGAACCAGAAACCAACAACGATGCGAACCGTCTTAGAGAGGCTGCGGATGCCCACTGACTTGCTTCAGCGATGCCGTCTATGTACTCTCTATCATCCTCCAACAAACCCGTTTCATAGCAAGCATCTCGATATGTAATATACTGAGCCTCTTCAACCGTCATGTAGTCCTCATGACACGTTGCATCGCGAACAAC